CAAATTTTCTTTTACTTGATTATTAATTAAATTATCATTACGTGAAACTGTTTTAAATATAATAAGCAAATTGGGTATTATGGTTTGGAAATTTAGATGTATTTTTTTTTTGGTAAAAAAATTTAGATGTAGTTTACAGAGTTTCGGTTCTCTTATGATAATTTTTGTTTTTTCAACCTACAGTATTTGTTTTCTTAAGTTAAAACAAGACTGCAACATGATATTGGATCGTGTACCATTGCAGTTGAGTAGTTTTTATTTGCATGCAAACAAGATGAGTATCTATTTTCATTTCCACGGTCAACAAAATAATTTGCTTAAATTATTTTTTTCAGTCTAAATAACGTACAAATCTATCAAACTTTTTTTTTTTGTTAACGTACAAAATTATCAAACTTTTTTTTTTTTTGTTTCTTTCAAAAGCCTGGTGTTCGTATGTTGGCAAAAAGCCAAAAACAATTGTGTGAATAGAATTAAACCAAACCATATATTCTTTAAAATCAGACTTAGACTTAGACCGATATGACCGGGTGGTTCGATTCTATTTTAGAAACCAAGGTTTCTCATCACAAAATGATCAAAATCCCATAGAATATAACTTCATCCAACTAGACTCGTATATGATATTTATGACTATAAATACACGCATTCATATTAATGTTGAAAGAATAATCAATGGGTGCTATAAATATATGACCCAACTACCAAAAGTAAATATGGTAATCAATAGTTTGAAGTAAATTTCAGATTAGACTAACAGCAACTAGTAATAATTATAAGCTCAGAAATCTGTGACTAAAAGTCCAAAAGGAGCATTAACGATTAGCAATAAAACGAGCAATAACGATACTATGAGATTCTCGTGCTCATCCATTAATGGCTTCAGAAGCAAAATATCTCATTAATTTCGAAATTTTAGCCTATAGATTTGTGTTTTTTTTTTATAAGGTAGCCTATAGATTTGTAAATGAGTTCGAGTTCTTAAAAAAAAAACTGAGATATGAAATGGCTTGAGTAATTTCTTGCCACAATTGAATTCGCAGTTACATGACTCGAACTCTAATTCCATGATAGAAAATTTAACCACCGCATCACGATGTTAATTATTTAAAGTTCTATATATCTTTTATAGATAACATACATGTTTATGGTTTCTCACAATCTATATATACTATATCAATTCGGGTTTAGGTGTTTAAAGACTCTTGTGTGCACCTTGACAAGAAATTATAAATTAGCGATTTGGTGTTTGGAGTTTGAGGATTAATGTGTTACATTTGGGGAGTTAGCCAGAAATTATACCTAATGTTCGTATATTGTATATTTTGTTTTGTGTCAAACCTCAAACGTATTGTTGATGAGGATTTGTCGATCATACGTTATAAAACGTTACTTAGTTCAAACAAAAAAAAAAAACAAAAACGTTATAAAACGTTACTATTCCAAATATATATATATATTAGTCGGAGAGTCGGAGAGACTACTGAATGGTATCGGCCCACACATGATTAAGGGCTTGAACAATATGGGCTGTTGCTTCAGACGTATCTTTAAAGTACCATTTATTTCAAGTTCATAGTCCACTACTTCTGTCCTCCTCACCAACGGTGTTAATTAAAAGTCAATCAAATTGACGGTGACTAACGGTACGAGTCCACTGTTAGAAATATAGGTCGGATGTATATGATTATTGGAACGTAGACAAAGTAACAGACACACCTGCAGGCTTTTTACTTGTCCAAAAGTTTTAGAGAAACCCAATACATAATTCCTCACAAAACAATTTAATTTGACATTACAAAACACATTAATTGTATTTCATTTTCCTAGAAATTTTTAACTTATGTTCATGAACCAATTTTTGTTTTAGATAAAGTTAAGATTTTATCAGTTAAAGTTAAGATTTTATCAGTTAAATAAATGGTGTCGAATTGAGTGTTTGAAACGGTAGAAAAACTGAGAGCTTATCTTTGTTATACTGTGATTTTGAATCGGAACTAAAGTGGTTATCTTTGTTGGATTGGATTAAGGTTAATAAAATAGGCTAGACAAAGTAAACCACGGTCCATAGCAGGTGAGCAACATTTACTGATAAGTGTAAAGAACAGGTCACCACCGTAACTTGTAACATTTTAATGCCATGAAGTCCCCAAAATAAATACGACTGTGACATATGTATATATATTAATATCATTGTATTGACATTTTTAGTAGATAATGGAATTATTGATCAAATTAAGTAGATAACCGTTGTGAAGACTATTAAACTGATGGAAATGAAATACTCCCTCCGTTTCATAATATAAGTCGTTTTGGAGAAAAATTTTTGTTTCATAATATAAATCGTTTTCAAGTTTCTATGCTCTTTATATATTACTTTAATATAATATAATTATTTATATTATGCAGTCTTTTTTATGATTGGTTGAACTTTTTAAAAGTAGATCTTCTTAATCTGCGTGTTTAAAGCTAAAACGACTTATATTATGAAACAGAGGGAGTAATGCAGATAACGTAAATTTTTTTACAATTTGTGCATGCTTACCAAAATTATGGATCTTCTTCAAGTAGCAACCAATCTGTCAGAGACACATAATTTCTATTTTATTTTTGTTTTTCTGCAAATAAACATATATAACACATATGAATTATTTAGTGTAAATTTCCCAACAATTTATTAACAAACACAGTTACACACTTACACCATATTAGAAAATGTGTAAACCGAGTTTTTTTCATAAGTTGGCAAAACGAAAGCACTTTGCATTAGTTAAGCTAAAAACGGTTTACCACAAGAAATGAGGGTAAAAAAAAAAAAAAAAAAAGAGACAACACCAAAGTACTGTTGCCTGGTAATATATATGTGAGCTTAAGTTGCTATCTTACTTGAGATTTGTCTTTCTAATAAATGTGAACTTTGAATTTCAAGAGAGCAAAACCCGGCCTAAAACTTTGGACCCAATCTCATCTATTGATAATGCTCATATTTAATTAATTCTAGTATTATTCCTTTTTAATGACTTTTTTATTTATACTTGTGATGCTGCATTTTGTATGCATGCCCAAACATCGAGAATCACTGTTAAAAAGACTGTATTGCATCTAATACTGAAATTTGTTTTCTATGTTAACACATGCTAGGAAATTGTAACAACAACAAAAAAAAACAAGTAAAGTGAAAGCTACGAAAACATATAACATATTTATATCAAATTGGAGAGATGATGAGGGTGAAATTATTTAAATGGTTTACTGATACAAAAGTTCGAAGCTTCTTGAAATTTTAATAATCGTTACAGCAGAAAGTTAAATCTCGAAGGTAGAGAGTTGACAATTATTTTGTTTTTACATCAATTTTAACAAATTTATAAAATCAATATAAGCATTTGTCTTTATCTTAAATAGCGTTGTCGATAACCGTTAAGCTATGCAACTAATTACTTAACTAGCATACGTGTTGTTATATAATTAACTATATTAAGGAATTTTTTAAGAAAGTTCAATCATCAATCCCTTAACAATAAAAACAAATCTAAGGTTGGTCCGGAGTCTTTCGCTTCTTAAGTGTAGTCTTATTGCTTTCATATTTGTTAACAATAGCGCAACTAAACATGAAGAGGACATTTTTGAAAAAAGGTATTGAAAAAGGGGCATTTTTGTGAGTCTCTCTTATTATTAGCTAGTGAATGGACTATTTACGATTATACACCCATAAAGTTAGTCGGACTTCAGTTCGAATTACCTCTTATTAACAAGAAAATAAAATAATAAATTAATTCCAAAGCACATATATTGGTGAGATAATATGACATTAGAATTGAAAAGGATGAATTCCACTTTCTGTATTTTTACCAGAGACATTCTTCTCATCACCTCCGCCCTGAGGCCTGAAGTGAACTTTATAATACATTTTTTACTTTTATATCTTCTACCTATTTCTAATTTGTTTTTTTTGTATGATCATCTACCTCTTTTTTTAATAAAGTAACTGAATAAAGTTATCGCAGTTCCCATTTGGAGTCGACTGCCACGTTTAAAAATAGATTTTTTTTTTTTTTGAATATGCCAAATGTTGATCAAATATTTTGTCCAGTGTTTTTTTGGGAAGGATGATTTAGTCTTGTATATCTGTCACAATTATCATCAAAAAATTATAGAAAAATACATATCAAACACACAAAACTATATAGTTAAATAAAACGTCAACACTTCATACGCAAATTGTGTTTTGGTAATAGTAATCGTTTGTATTGCTTACATATGCGTGGAAGATTTATCTATCACAAGAGGCAGAGATGTCAGGGCTTTTTTAAAAGGGCCGATGCAGGTATATCTTACAGCATCTAATATTTTGTAATATCTGAATTTCTGAGCCTTTTTTTGCAGTCACAATTATTTTTGGATTTACTACTATGAACCAAGTCTCTTGTAAAACAAAAACCTGCTATATAAACGACAGTAAATTTCAAAATCAACGGCTCAGATAAGATCTATCAAAAACACGATGTCAGAGATTAATCATACATAAATTCATCCCATGTTAATAACTTATGATACTTGTATTAATTTTTTTTTGTAAAATATAAGATTATGGAGACAATCTTGTAGGATTGTGTCACTGATTTACACAGTCCCACATGTCTCATCTTAAAGCCAAACCTGCCGTTGAAGCGAAGAGATCTTCACTGTTTTCCCGTTCTCAGCTTATCCAACGTTCAACTAAGTTTTAATTTTATATACCATATAAAACTTTTGTATTCTATTCAAAATTTTGCTGGTGAAAATATTATCTAGATAAATTGGTTGTACGTGTAGGTTCCCCATAGAATCCAGAATTCAACTCAATGGTCAATAATCAAATTTAGTTCTTTTTTATATATGTACGTTTTGACTGAAAGGTGAAAGCATCTATATGCAATCTACTATTCTTTTATTGAAGCTTTTGAAAGAATTTTTTTTTTATTTTAATTTATTCATTTAGTTTTTTTTTTTTTTTTTTAAATCCAGGTATCCGGGCCGAAGCCCGACTAGCACCAAGGCTTGAGGCCGGTTTCCTGTCAGGCCGTCCGAACCCAACGCTCAGTGTATTTCCTGGAGGCCCGAGGGGGCCAGGTGAAAATCTCGGTGACCAACAGGAATCGAACTGCGGGCACCATATTGGAATTATCCCCTCAAGTACCACTAGCCCAACCCACGTTGGTTTTATTCATTTAGATTTGATTATTAATACTTTTGTTCTTTTATAGACGCAAAAAACTAACGTTGCAAATATTTTTATGCACGTTTTGTCAAAAACTGAGATTAATAACCGATCCAATGGCCTAATCCTTGTCTTTACCAAAGAAACAAAAAAATAAGTGCAATCCAACTATCATCATCCTACATAAACGAAAACTATTTTCCACATTATTGAAAAAATTAAAAGGTAAGCACAATACATACCAATATAATAGTAATACGGTTCATCATCTCCATATGTGTATCGGGGTAGCCAACGTTACAATTCTGCACAAATTTTAATTAAGCTAAAGAACAAATTAATTAAGAAAAAAAATGCAAAACCGTTCTAAACCATAATGTCTTTAGTGTTCTCATCCATCTCTAACAAAGAAGACAGCGGCAAGAAACGTACGGACGTCGAGGAAGTCTCATCGGAGGAAGAAGAAGACGAACACGACGTATAGAATGACAAGGGAGACGACGGAGATTCTCCAAGAGTCATACTATTACAACAAGAAGTGCTTGCTTCTCCGGAAGCGGCGGCGCGTGAGGCCGAGACGCCGTCATCTTTGGAAATGTCGCTATTGGTGATGGGTTTTTTCGTGTTAAGTGCTAAGTTCATGAGGAGATCGACGAAAGCCGCGAAGATGTATCGATGGCTGGTCTTGGCGTTGACTTTCAAGAACTGAAGGAGAAGCTTCTCGAGGCTTTTCCAGTCATGGTGAAGCTCGTGTGCCTCAACCATCTCCTCCATGGATCTCTTGAAATCAGAGTAAGGGTCGTTTGATTCCAAGGAGAAGAGCATGAAGCCTTCTTCTTCGTCTTCTTCTTCTTCTCGCTTGCTCGTAGCTCCTTCAAGTATAGAGTTGGTTTCTCCTTTGCTTTCGAAGATGAGTCTCTCTGATGATCTTAGCCCTTTTATCACACTCTCTACCGAGTCAGTAATCTCCGGTGGGTCGAGCTCATCGTCATCTTGGTCGTGAATAGGGTTGGTGAAAGTGATGGTGGCTCTGAAAGATAAGGTCTTAGGGTTTTGATTACAAGAAGGCCATGGCCATGAAGAGGATGATGAATTTGAATTCGAATTAGAAGAATATGAAGATGTTGAGTGGTTCTTGTTTAGAAATGGGAGTTTCATGTTTGTTTTTTCTGAGAAAAGTAGGACAAGAAAATAATTTTGATTTTCTTGTTCTTCTTTGGGTTTCTTCTTTTACCTTTTTTTTTTTTTTGGTATGTTTTGGGGATTGGATTCAAAATTAAGAAACTGAGAGAGTTAATGGAGTGTGGGAGGGAAGATTTTAAGGGTTTGAAGGGGAGAAGGACAGAGAGGAATGGTAGGGTCTCTATTTCTTTACTTATTTAACGTCTATTATATTTCTTTATTAAATTTATTTGGTTGTTGTATTTAATTATTGGCTTCAAAATTTAATGTTGTTTGGTTGGGGTTCATTCAATTCTATAATTCAGTACCTTTTCCCGGTTAAGCTGTTTTCGTATTTATTATAATGAATGATACTTTCTTGTTTTCGTTTTTCCATTCTTCAGAGCTTCTTCAATCTGACTTATTCAAAAAGTATTTTGAAAGGATTCTAAAAGGTTTATTTTATCATTTAGAATGTAGGAGCATATCACAAATTATTGGTTTTGAATCCGACTGTTTTTTTTTTATAATAGAATTCGCCTAACATCGTTTACTGTGTTACATTATTGTATGTATTAAGAAAATACAGATGATGGAAATATTTTATTATTAATAATTTTGAAAGTTAGCTAAATGATCGTGGTTTCAAAAAAAAAAAGATAATTGAAGCTTCCGTACTAGGGGACTACATATATGTATTGCACGTGGCAAAGGAACGTAATCGTTATTTCTAAAGAAAGACAAAATATTAGGTCACATTAAAAGTTTTCTCCATAAACAATTTATTACCCTATGCCCTTTAATAATTTAGTTCCATTCTGAATCCATGTCTGCAAAAGTAACCATAAATATTTGATATATATAAGATGGAAAAGATTAGCTCCATAACTAATTTTTTTAATAACATACTCCACTTGATATACATGTAAATCAAAAACCAAAATCGTATCAAACTAATCAATACTATATTCAATTTTAAGATAGCTATATATTTTCTTTAAATTTGAAACCAAAATACAGCAAAACCCAAACAGAAACGAAATCCATAAATATCAATCATAATTTAGACGTCAAACATAAGATAAATGATTCAAATGGAAAAGAATGAAACATAGATAATGATATACTCCATAACAAGAAAAACTCAACTACCAGTTAAACCAACGAATCAACCAACCAACTGACCAACAAACAAAAGATATGATGAGGTCAATTTTAAATTTTTTTTTGTAAAATCAGACAATATCCCAAACTTTGCAATAATGTTGTATATAATACTAATTGTTATTACACGCCTCCTCCCCAAATCGGAAACATTTTTTGTGTTTCTCTTTCATGGAAACTGCTCGCACCTGAAACCTATTTAGATATATTTATCTATAGGTTTGCATCAATACATTACGTGTATGTATTTTGCATGTTAACTTTTATGTCAATAATTCATATCCGGCGATTCTAGAAATATTACTACATATAATGTTCGAAATATATAGTTTCTCACTGAGAATGATTCTTGCATAAAAATAGTATATTTGAACTGTGAATGTATATTTTTTTCTGTAGAATGCAGTAGATCATACTCATAGAAATAAAATAAAAAAGTCGATGATTTAAAAAATAAGTAATCATAGATCGTATCGGTGAATTTTATTTTATAGAAGGCGCAGCAGTGCCATGTGAGTCTCTCACAATTCCATTTTGCACGTAACTTTCACTCACGTGCCTCTCACGCGACGCCAGTGGAGAGATTGCGACACGGGAGGAGAGATATCAAAATCATTATCATATCAAATACATTAAAGAACACATTAAAACATCTCAATTGACAAATAATGATATATTCAGGGCCAGCGCAGAGGCCAAGCAACTGAAGCCAGCGATTGGGGTTCCAAAATTTTAGGGCCCTTTAAACTAAAAATTTGTTAAGTTTTGAATATGCTGGAAAAACTATAAATTTATTTTGTAGAATCTTTTTAAAAAAAATGATATGGGCTTTTAAAGACAAACTAATTATCTTCAACACTAAATTTTTGATTTAGTAAAAAAAACTCTAAAACGCTGATTGAATATAAAAAAAAAAAACTGACGCTACATGATACCTCTTATGCGTGTATGTGAGTCAATTTGCTTATTTTACAAGTGAAAAATCATAGTTTTTGAAGTTAATTGTTAGTTTTGCTATTGAATTTATTGTTTTTTCTTTGCAAATTTGTTTTAAAAAAGAAAGCTGCTAATCCGATAATGATTCGTTAATGGTTTTTGTAATATATGAAAAAGGCATACTTTTTGAAGTTTTGCGTAGAGTACTTGCATATATCGGGCCGGCATTAGATATATTATATATAAAAGTAGAAGCTTCCAAATAATTATAGAACTATAAGCGGAGATATTAGACAAATCATGTGGATTTTTAAAAGCGAAGATAACGATTGAAAGCTGTACGTCTTCTAAATTCTTATTATGCCATTGTCTTCATGGATGCTTCGTAGGCGTTTCATTTGAATAATCACTTTTTCTTTATATAACAACACTCATCCCTCTTAGCTAATCATTATATATATATATATATATATATATATATTTTACTTCCTCGGTTTCAAAATATAAAGCGTTTTGAAAAAAAAATTTGTTTCAAAATATAAGTCGTTTTCAAGTTTCTATGCAAATTATATATTACTTTTAATATTTTATGATTATTTTTATTATGCAGTCTCTTTTATGATTGGATGAACTTTTAAAAAATAGATCTTTTTAATCGGCGTGAATTTATCTAAAACGTCGTATAGTTTGAAACTGAGGGAGTAGTAATTTGGTCCATACATTATGAGTTTTAACGCTATGTATTTAGGGTTTAAATTTTAGATCATGCATAAAAACTATATATGGATGATCTAAAATATTTCAACATGTACTTTAAAAACCATGATAGATACTACGGACTTTTTATTGCCACTGTTTTCTCACGCTTTTGTTTTAGTAACTATTGAAAGTCAAGTCGAGATAGTCTGATAGATCATAGTTTTAGGCTCATAAGGTTAAAGTTGATATACCGTGATTCATGATTCATTTTTACAGCCATCATCAAAGATTCAATTGCGAGATTCTCCACAAAAAAAAGATTCAATTGCGACATTCTCCACAAAAAAAAAAATTAACAATATGTAGATTTTTTTTTTTTCATATGAACCCATAACCCGTTCCAAAGTAATATTTACTAAGAGTAAACAATTACAATTGTTAGAGCTATAACATTTTTTCCTTTCCTATAACATATTAGTTCAACGGTGGTGGAAGAGCAAAAGAAAGGGACCATTTTGGTGGTATGCACCAGCTGAGAATGTGGTCCTCTTCCTACGAAATCTATCCTCCTTCTCTCTTTCATCGCTATACCAAAATCATGATTCCTTTCTACTAATTTACAAACTTCATATAGTAATATTATCCTTTAGCTCACCAGTTTTGGATACATTTGAAGAATCCCGTTTGTCAATCTATTCCAAACAAATAATTACTACCTCGTTCCACCTTGTAGTATAAATTTATAAATATTACAGATCAATTATAAAATTCGATTATTAAGCATACTTCCTCGAGTTTCCAAATCTAAATTATATGATTGACGATATAATTATGCATACAAAAATCTATATATGTAGATATCTTGTTTGGGAATAGTTGGAACAAGGTTTTAACATAAAAAGTTATCCCGACAGAAATTCATAACGTAGAAACACACATGTAGTAATAATTGAGATATCTTAAGGTTTATATAATGTGAGTGTTTTTGGGTCCATGAAATTGCCGCGACCTGACTAAAGTAGTGAAGAGGGGACAGTGTGCTGGTGTCACGAATACGAAAGATATATATAATATTTTGTAGCTCAGAAGCTGGAGAATTTGATGTTACTGTTTTGGATCTTTGAATATATAAGAAGATTAAATATTAAGATTATCGCTTTCAAGGAATGTAGGCCCAATCTTATCTAACTGTAACCCTTATTTCCTCGGGACCATTATTGTCTTCTCTCTAGTCTCTAGTGGCCCAAACAAATATTCTAAATTTCATTCATACGAGTGTTTTGATTCCATCCATGCAAAAAATTTAAAATCTTGATGTTTGTGGTAATTTAAGATTAAGATTTAATTTGCAAGTAATCTCAAATGTTTTTACAAAAATGAAGACAAATGATGATGATGATTATGCTTTTTAACATATAACCAACATTGTTAAACAAAATGAAGAAACTTTTAGTACATTATCCAACATAACAATATCTTTGAGCTAATACAAATTGAGTTAGGTTAGATAACGTTCTGATAATAGTAGAAATATAAGGGATCTAAAATAATGCCAAAAGGAATGTTTTAAAATAAAAAAAAAAGCTACAATATGGTTCTCTTCGTATTGAATTCACTAACCACAAGGATAGTTACTATAGCGATTAAATCATGTTTGTTTTGTAATCACCAGCGATTAAGTCTTGTTTTTATTTTGTATTTGTTGGCAACAACGATCAGCGACTGACCTCTGATTAAAAATTTTAAAACGCAAAATGTTTAATGATCCTAGCTTTTTTTTTTTTTTTTTTTTTTTTTTGAAAACAATTGATCCTAGCTTTTAAGCATTAATTATTGAAGTGAATCGCTAAACCAACAAACACGAAACAAACAAGATCAAATTAATCGTTGCTGATGGTCACTGTCTGATTGTTAAAAATTAGGAAACAAACCAAAACGTGTTGGTGATTGTTGTCATTGTTGCTAGCAATTACGAAACAAACATAACTTTATTTTAGCCGCTCGAAATTACTAATCTAGTTACCACTTACCATCCATGTAGTCATGTAGATGAACACAACAACACACTACATATAAAAATCAAGTATCAAAACACGAAAGATGCGTTACCAAAGCAAGAATCAAACGATTCCTTCCGGCCTCACACAAAACTGATTATTTTATCAAAATAAAAAGAATCAAACGAAAATCGTCCGTACCTTCCGTTGATTGATGAGCACATGGGTGCATGGCTTTTGGATGGACCCTTCTGCGTTATGTATGTATGCATTCTCTACATTATATTACACTTTTAGTTATAGTTATGCATCATTGATTAATTGGTTGCTAATGATCTGGTCGTCTTTAGCAAAAATAATGAGTTGGTCGTATGATATGAAATGAGGTGGCGTGATTCATGAACCGTGTGGTAAGGACCGTAAAGTATGTGCATAGACTTTAAAAGTCATTACAAAATTTACAAATCTAAACACTTGTAATAGAAGATACATAAACGTAGTGTCGATTGGGGATGTGCCTTTAGTCAAGTGGTTAAGTCCACTTGACTCCGCCTTCCCCACCGGAGTTCGACTCCACTAAATCGCGTTACCCCGCGTAGTAGGGATTGGCTATGGATCGGGCCTTGTCGATCCAAAGATGTCAAAAAAAAAAAAACGTAGTGTCGATTTAATTGTGTTGTAGTTTGTAAAATGGTAACACAACTATGGGTGAAAAAGTTAAAACACAAATTGTATATTGATATGTAAGTATTCTTTTTTTTTTTTTTTAACTCAGGGTAAATCCCTAGAGAGTCTAAGACTAATCCTAGTAGAGAGGGTATCCCACGGGTAGGGTCCCCTCATGTTTTCAAATGGACCGGAAACAATGGATTCATACCCATGTGGCAAAAAGGATAAATGCATAAAGCTAAGCAATTCTGCATCTGGGGAGAATTGATCCCTGACCTAGACCAATAGAGCCACTCTTCCACCAAACTAGAACCAATAGCCCACCACCTCTTATGTAAGTATTCTTTACGGCTAAAACATATATTGATTCTAACATTGTTTATCAACGTTAATGGTTGATGATTTAGTTGTAGATACTCTGACGTGGCAGTTGACGTAGAAACCGAATCCAACAACTGGTAACGTAGAACAAGAAAGTTATACATGTGAGTAAAACTATCCTTTTTGAAGTCGTTTATAAAACCATTCTTCATATGTTTTCAAATGCGAAAGAAAATTAGATTCGCTTGTGGTGAATGTAAAAGTCTAATCATTGAAAATGAGATCTTTAAAAAGTAAAGTATCTCTGAATAATATGATGTGACAAACTACCGAAAATAAAAGATAATTCCTTGAGAACCAAAAAAGGACTTGCATAAATTGAAAGATAGCCATAAAAATAGTTGTCAATGTTTGTGAAAGAAAAGCAAAAAGTCACATGGAAAAAAAGCTAGAGGAAAGGCAATGGACTGCCGTTAATAATCAAGCTTAAGGTGAAGGAGAGATATGACACACTTCCCAAGCCTAGGACATGAGGAAACAGACACACCGACATGATTCTAATATTACTGGACATTACAGCCTTCACTCTTTTGTCCAAATCAGACTCCAAATTAAAACTTTGACATGAGGAACAGAGAGAGACGAAGATGAAATAGCATTTGAGATTTCCTTTAGAGGCGCATATATATTCAAAACATATACAATTTACCTTACTAAATCAATCCTAACAACTCCCTCAATGTAAGTTTGAGCGGTCTAACTTATCCAAGAACAAGATAATAATCTCCTTGTGTCCTAAATTGTATTTGTGAAGATCGTATTCCTAACATTCTTCAAGTTACGCCACTCGTATAACTAAAGATTAGAATCATATTTCAACAATACACCTTTTCTCGGGCTCACTTTCAAATACCGAACTACATTTAGACCTACAGTCCAATGATCTTGACAATTCTTGCATGAATTGCGCTCGAATGTGAACACAATAGGAGAGTTCAGGTCGACTAAAAGTGCAGTAAATCAAACGTATAAAGGACCAAACAACGGTGTTTTGCTTCTAAAAGATCGGTTTTCCATATTATATCTAAATTGAGAAGATGAAGTCATGAGACAACGTTGTCTAGATATATTTGCACACAAGGATTTAAACTCCAGATGATCAATCGAACATCATCATTCATCCACAGACACCATTGTTTTTACTTTTAGGTACGAAAGAAAAAGCTTGAAGATCAACAACAATGGAGAAGCCCCTCAAAGGTAAAAGGCTTTAAGAGTATTAAAAGAAGGTTGCTTCGGGAGGTTGAACAAGCTTCCGGTTATGCGATGCAGTCATCTCCTTCTTCAATTGAGTCAGTATGTCCTCCATTGTGTACTGCCTTTGCCAGTTTGCAAGAACCCCAAACTTCTTCGGATCCACCTATATGCAAATTCACATTGAGTAAACTAATTCAAAACAAAAGTAACAAAACTCAAAAATTCACATTCTTACCACGCCGGTTTCATGGTTGACACAAGTCATGTTGATGCGAGAATGGAACCGAACAGTTGGGGGTTTCTCTGGGTAATCTTTGTCACAGAAGAGCTTCAACTGATAAATTCGACCCTCATGTACAGTCTGCACAAGACATAAATACCAGTTAGATCAGATCACAATGTGCTAGTGATTCTCCCTATCCTCTTTCATATTCCAAAACCATTCAAGAAGGAGACACAAAGTCCTATCATTCATAGCAAGTGAAGATAAAAAAAAAAAAAGAGATATAACTACGTTGTGAGGACCGATGATAGTGCCAGTCCAAGAGCGCATATAAATGTCATCTCCATCATCCATTCCATAGCTCACAGTTCCATCTCCAATACCTTTCTCTCCACGTTCAAGCTCCTCCAGCAACCTGAAATTCCTCGGAACTACACAGTAACAACATCAAACAGCTCAGTTATAGTGAATGAAACAAACAGAAATTACACAAATAAGCTCTATATTCTAAGCAAAGCACTGAGCTTGAAAACAGAACACAGAACTCTGAGAATCTGTATAATACCATTTGAAATAGTTAACCAAAAAAAAACCCCAACTCAAGAATTAGGATTATCACAGAGCGGATTCATATCAATCAAAAGACTAACACTTTCAGAGTTAAAATCAATCAAATCACCCAGCACAAGATACAGAGATATCAAGTATTATGGCTCATATGCAGAGAAACCCAGAAACAATCAAGAAAATTATCGATTGAAATTATCAAATATAAACCCAAGAAACGTTTCGTATCAAATCAAAAACCCTAGAGAAACAAACTTAAGAGAAACCAAAAAATATCGAAAATTTACCGACAACACTCGATCCTCCTGAGCCAAGAGTCATGATTAGGGTTCAAGTCGATTGATTGTGAGATCTGATGACCTAAATTGAGAGAGAAGACAAAAACTGAGAGATTCTCTGATGCGAAACACACAAACGCTAAAGCAAATTGGGGCAGTTGAATTACTATTGGTGCGACGAGAATTGGAGTGGGTAACTATTTATTTTCCGCTACCCATATTTTTGTTTTCTCACATTTGTTGCCATGAATTTAAGATATTGTCAAGAATAACCCCAAACATATTTGATAAGGCTCTGTATGGGCCATTGATATGTTGATGGGCCAAGAGGAGACTTGTTTGTGAAAGAACCCCATGTCCTCTGTTGGGGTGTCAAAATGGGTAACCCGACCCGACCCGACCCAAACTCACATGGGTTCGAGTGTTTAATGGACGGGTTTGACCCGATCTATATATTTATATGGGTTGAATTTATATACCCAAACCCATTATTGTAGAAATCCATTGGCTTAATGGGTTATATGGGTACCCATATATATGTATAATAAAATATATAAATAATAAAAATCCAAAAAAATAACATAAAATTGTAAACCAACAAAAGTTTTTAAATAATAAATTAAAAAATCAAGATATTAAAGTAGAAAAACATCCTAAAATCTTAAAACCACAAATCCAAAGAACCATAAAACCAAATAAAAAAGATAGTTGTAAAGAAAAGAAGATATTTTACATATATTTATATAAATTCTAATATATTAATATAGATATATATAAATTTTACTTTTTAGTTTTGGTTATAAAACCCATGGGTAACCCATGACCCTAATGGGTTTTACCCATTAAACCCATAACCCTAATAGGGTAACCCACTGAAACCCATATATATATATGGGTAAAAAAATTCTATCCAAACCCACTAAAATCATGGGCGGGTTCGGATAACTCATGGGTATTAACCCATTTTGACACCCCTAGTCCTCTGGCAAGACTTGAAGAGACAGATGTGGATGAGTCTAATCCAGACTCATGAAATCATCGATTCTTAGAAAATTTTCAGTTGAATCTCTCTGCCATGTGGTTGGATTAAACACTTGTCGTCATTTATATAAACCCTTAAACCGATATATTAGGAGCTCTGTAGCAAAACAGTTTGATCTCCTAGCTAGGCTACCAAAAGATTGACAAGAGGAATGCAACATTTGTGTGAGCTTTAAGGGGATTTGTGATAAGCTAAGTGATATACGAAAGACCATTGCGTTGATTAGATGAGGTTTTCTTTCTCTTAAGAAGGAATTGGTGAAGGGTTTCATTTGGTACCTTACCTACTACGATGTATTATCATCCTATCCCTCATGTTAGGACATTGTATCTCAACAATGACAAATCTTGTTCTCTTATATTTTCTAACCAAAGAGTTATTACCCTTTTAGAACACAAACAAAACAATAAACTTCATTTAACTTGAAAAAGACTTGAGATCTATTTATATATTTGTCAAAACTTATTCCCCGGAACCATGGGAACCCACTCCTTCCAGAGAGAAGAAGAAAACCAAAAAAAAAAATATATATAGTTCAAGAGTGAACAAGATTGAGTAAATAATGGTACATTGCAAAGAGAAAGGCTTAGCTTATTATAAAGTTAAAAGATGATGAAGATTTAAATGAGAGCTTGAACACCCGCTCTCAGCATTTCTCTGAGCCTCCAAATGGGATAAATCGCATCCTCCCCTAACTCTGCTGCCTCCACTTGTTGCATTGCCCAGTCGTAGTACACCGTGTGTATCGTGTCCTATATCCAACACACAACAACAAATTCTTAAGGGATTGTGGCATTGCCCATATGTTTTGGGTTTGATTTATGATTTTTGATTCAACATTTCTTTTTTTACCTGGCCTCCTTCTTTGATATTTCCATTCTGGTCGCGAACGCAGAAGATTTCTTGCGTTTGGAACTGACATCAAAGATTGATAAATCCATCAACCCCAATTCTTAGTTAAAGGATGACCTCACAAGGAAAACAAAGATCATTACCCTGACGATGATTACTGGAGAAGTTCCCATCATCTTTGTCTCTTTAATTTCAACTTCAGATACATGCAAAAGCTGCACATCACAGCCAAAACGATTTTACTCACCACAAAACGAAGCAAGTTACTCAGAGATTTACATGATTTCACGAGAACCAGGATCCCGTGGGTGAACCAATAATAAAAACCTTACCTTGTGATCGAAAAAATAGCCATGACTCTGGAAAGCTCTGTGCTCTGCCGTGCACCGTTCAATCAATTCCTTGCTGCAATACTTCTTCAAGGTCTCAGCATCTCCCTTTACAAAGATGGGAACTAATTAGAGGCAACAAAAACGAGGATGAAAGGAGATGATCTATTCAAAAACCTGAGATATACCTTACTATATGCATTCAAGACTGGTCTGATGGCTTCCTGAATTTCTACAGCAAAGTCCGGCAAGGAGAATGATCTGACCATGAAAGAGATAAGAATATGATTACCAGGGCCATATCTTCAAACAAATAATCAGCCTCTATAACTTACGGATCTCGGCGACGTATCTCTTTGTAAGTCGATGCAGAACCTGTTTCCTCAAAGATCTTCTCATTCATGCTGCCAAACAAAAGAATGCACATGTCACTAAGCTGCTGTAAGTAAGTAAATTTATAAGAAAGATAGTAAGAGAGCAATTAGAGCATACTCCTGAATCTTGTGAACAATCGGATTATCACTGGTTTCCCATTTTTCCATCACATCTTCTGCAATCTACACGGTCCAAATACATTGCCAATTTACAATAACAAAGCAGTATCAGAAAAGACAGTGATGCAAGGTAATATATTTGAACAAAATGAGTAAAGAGAAGATGTTCATCACCTCTTGGCTCTTGTTAACAACAGGCTCACTCATCCCGCTTAGACGTTTAAATACAGGATAACCTTGCATCTAAACCAAATTTAAGGAAAACACTCAACAAGAGCCTTATAAACATCGCATAAGTGGACAAGACAAAGATGGCCATTTACCTTTTCTCTTAAGGATTCCCATTTTTTTTGCCACTTAGACTGTTTTGTTGGCGTAATCACTATCTCCGTTCTTGTACTTCTCTCACCTGTAAATGGCGGCGGAGGTGTATACTCCAGGTGCTTCCTTTTAGATGGGTTTCCTCGCAATTCCTCCTTTACAATGTCAAGTCCCTTCTTTGCAAAGTCAAGAGGCTTGTGAAACGCCTCGGATATTTTTGGTGAAGAAATGCTTGACTTGAATTTTCCAAAAAATGTATCTTCCTCCTCCGTAGTACCAGATTGCTGCTGCTGTTTTACTCCTTCAGTGGTTCCTGTGCCTGATGAACTTGCTGACTCTGTATTCTCCTCCTTACCGAGCTTGAATGACTCCTTGACCTGATCACAAAAGATACATAACCAAGTTAACATAATAAAAAAAAACTACTGAAAGGGCAACAAAAAAAAAGTGAAAATTCCAGCAAGACCTCTTCTGTGGCTGCTGAGAACTTGTCTTTCACACTTGAGGAGACCTGCATCGTCAAAGCTGTTTATTAGGGACGATTCCTAGCCTTTTACAATGTACAAAGTAACTAATCATACATACAAAAAGTGAGTTACAGTTCTCTAAAACAATTTAGTTACCAAACTAGAAGAGATATAGCATACATAAGGCCAATGATTTCATAAAGAAAATAAAAAATGCAAAACTAACAAGCAGGAAAACACAACCTAGCTGAGAAAGTCCTTGCCTTTCCTAACATTCTCGAAAAAGATAACCCGAAACAGATAAGGTGCCGCCAATTACTAAAGCATACCTTTTTGGCCACAGATTCAGCCTCTGTCCAGACTCCATGACCTTGCTTATACAGCTGCTCAGTAGTTTGTTTCGTTCTGCATTTCCCATTTCATTCCATAAGCTTACTTTTGACATACTATTTACTTCTAACTCTTAAGTCCCTAAAGTGCAATTACAAAATGTAAATTACCTAGCTTTCAAGTCCTCTCTAATATCTTTCAACTCTCCTGCTCTTTCCTTGAACTCCTTCACTGTTTTTTGAAATTCAGGATTGCTACAACACCAATGTAAACAAAAAGGATTAAACTTTCATGTTCCAACACCAATATTTTGCATTGAAAAAATGATTATGATTTTACCTATCAGCTTCTCCTCTAATTTTCTTCGAGAACTCACTGAAAACACTAAACCGGCGATGACTCGCAAACCCATTTCCCGACAGAAGCCCTAATCTTGCGCCCACTCTCTAAAATCAAACACAAAATGAATCACCAAAATCCCATTTTGAGCTCGTAATCACAATCAATAGAAACAAATAACCAGAAACGAACCCGTTGGTGCACCAATTGCTGGAAAAGAGGCTGCTTTGTGATCAGTAAATCTCGAACCAGCTTTCTACTGGCCATTACAACAACCTTCGTAGTGATTTTTTATTAGAATAAACTTTGAAGAAACAGAGCCTATAAGCCGCCTACGAATTAGCCGCTGCGAGAAAGAATCAGATTAAGATTGAAAACATATCTTTGGTTTATTGAAAAAGAAAGAAAGTTGAAATTTTTCCTTGAGAAACAAACCAAACCAAACCCAGAAGACAGGAGTGTTGCCTTAAAGCCCTAGAGAGGTTTCTGTCGATACCATTTAGAGACTTGTTTGGATACACAGATAGGTGTATTTCGAGAGTTGATATTAGAAACGTCGTCGTTTCTAAACAGTATATATAGTTTGGGCCATTTGGCTCATATTCTGCAAAGATTTAGGCCCATATAGCAGTAATGAATTGAACCACTAAGGCCCATTAAGGTTCTGATAGTTTGGTTTTATAAGAAATGCAATTTAACATAAATTGTTGTTATCTGCCTCCATAACAAAATATATAAAGAGATCTAGAAAGGATAACTTTGGAATAGCCAGAACTTTGAATTTTCTATACAATTGTTAGCTATGTAAAAGAATCTAATACATAAGAAGATAAAAGGAAGAGAGTGAAAATTGAGAGAGATTTAAAGAAGAATCAAATATGATTTTACTTTAAATAATACAAAATGAAGCTTGTAAAATTAAGGGATCAACATCTAAAACAAAACATGACTGCAGGAACCAGATGTGAAGCTCTCTTTTTTTTTATCCTTGTGGGCTTCTCTTCTGGTTCACATCTCCTGTAAAACTTATGTCCTGCAAAATAAAATCAAAAATCTTTTTTTTTTAAACACCATGTGATTTTAGAATCCTTGCAAAAGTATCAAGTAGAATTTCAAGTTTCTTAACTTATGTAAGATAAAGAGATATATTATGTGTAGATGTAACTTATCTCCCAAAAAAACATATGATAATTTGTATCTATTATTGGTGCAAACACTTTGTGGAGAATAATATGTCCAAAATCCAAATATTTTCGTTGTCAAAGAGTAGATTTTATTGTGATCTGTAAGAAAATCCAATAATAGATGTGAGAACAAGACATATATGTGTCTATATATATATGTATACGTACACACGTAACATCGACACATCAATTATGCTTAATTATTCATGTGTAGTTACAGATTTGGTATAGAAGAAAAGTTTGACGGAATTGTCGACATTATTGTTCTTGAAGACCAAAAAGCATATGATTTATATAAATGAGAAACGTGCCTAACAATAACAAACACTGATAATACTAACACTTATAGTATAGTAGTAATAACAATAACTTTAATAAATAATGGACCGCACTTTTTTTGTGGGATAAGATTTTTGGATAGACCACTCGGCGTGATATATGAACAGTACAACTTCACACTCTAATGACCTCCCCAACCCAAGAAACAAAAAGACCATTTGTTCCTATCCTCAGTTTCTAAATAAAACTATAAAACACATATAGGTAGAATTAGAGATAATTGCTAACAAGACAGTTAATCTGAATAATTATTTGGACTTTTGTTATACTCCACTATATTTTGCTAAACGGACGTAGAGATTCTTGGTATGTGGTAACTATAATACAACAAAAGGGTCAAACCAACTCAATTAACTTCTTTCAATTTGAGACGCACTAATGAGAAACGTAAAATGTCGGTTAAATGATATGGACATCTACTTAGATCTTTAACTAGTATGTTTAGACTTTAAGAAAACGAAAATAAACTAACTTTTTGTTTATTTAAAATAATACTAATTGAAACGTACCATGTAGTACGGAGGTGGATAGTGTTGTTGTTGAGGGTAGAAATGAAACTGGTCGTGATTGGTTGTATATGTGTTAGAACCGTCAGGTGTGGATGGCTCGGACCAGTCCGAGTCTAGCTGGCATTCCATGTTCACTCCGAACAGTCTCAATGTCTTCGAGTTCCCTCTCTGGCTCTCCACCGCTTGAGCCCCTGTGTGCCATACAATTTGATACCATCAATGTTATATAAATTAATGTAGAAAATAAAATTTAGGAATCTATAATGGATAACTACCGAGACTTTAGCATAATTTCCCAAAAGAACAAGACTTTAATCGGAAGAGAATTTCCAATTTTGGTACTCAGATGACAAGCTTTACCACAATAAGACGCCACGTTATATTATATGCGAATTACATTGGTACTACAAAATGTCCACATCACATGTAACAATTAAATATATTCGAAAATAAGTATATACTCAAAACTTTGTTTTATGATGAGTGTTGGACTTGGTTTAGCGTCTTGAATCGAATTTTAGCATATGAATATATTCGGAACATGTGAGGAACTACTGCATGCCGTTTTGGTTACGGTCCAAGATACCGATTAAAGAGGTGTACATTCAGGCTGATGTATACGTTTATATGTATAATGAAAAATGAAAATTGGAGAAAAGAGTAGGTGTAAGTATACGCAACAAATGTCACGCAGAGCAGATAATACGAATCCGATTCTGTTTCTATGGGCTTCCATCATTTCTTTATTTTTACTTCTCTACTTACTTTAAAGCGCGTCTACCTCCACGCGCCCATTTACAAACCCAAACAAGATAAAGAGTACTTTCAATTGGGTCACGTAACCTCATACATTTCATGAAATAGATTTTTCACTTTTTAACTTTAAATAAATATCTCATGACTCGTTAAATTTTAATTCCGTTATCTATCCAGTCTATGCATGTAAAATGAAAATTATACCCGACAAAAAAAAAATGAAAATTATACGTTGACAAAAGTGCAAACGACAAAATGGACTTCTTTTCCAATTGCCATAACTCTTACTATTGTGTTATTTTTCAATAGATTTAGTTAATAATCTAGCTAAAATGGCTTGGGATCGGGACCTACTGTAGTAGTTTCACTACACCTTTAAATGTCAAAGATATTCGACATTTGATATTTCCAAGAGTAATCTGATTTTTTTTTTTTTTAGTAATCTGAATTTTAGGTTCAAAATTTTTTGGTTATGACCAAAAAATAAAAACAATTTAATTAAATAAAAAGGGTACCTGCATGAGGATAATATTGAAGCGAGGCATTGGATTGAACATGGCGATTAGAGTCGGAGGAAGAAGAAGAGTCACCGCGTCTTCTCCAGCCAATGAAGAATCTTCCGCCGTTAGCACGGTGGCGATGGAAGAGAACGACGTCACCGGCGTCAAGGTGCTTCTCCTTGACGTATCTACTCCAGCCTTTGGTCAAGACATAACTCTGGCTACTGTTCCAGTACGAGTATCTGAATCTCCATGGTTTACCTTCCTCGTCCTCGAAGCAGAGGAGAAGTCCTTTCTCCACCGCGTCTGCGGCTGCGGCCGCTAGTGGGAAGTATCTTTCGGCGTGCTGTTTTGGGATGACGAGGCGGTTGAGTTTTCCGACGTCACTTGGGGTTAAGGGTTTCTCGAAAAGAGCTTCTTTTTCTTCCACGACGTCGTTTTGGTGGTGGTGGTGTTGCTGCTGTTGTTGCCACATGAGAGAATGGTAGTGAAAATCGCTTGAGTATTGGTTTATTGACATTTGAAAGAGAGAGAGAGAGAGAAAGAGATGGCAAATAGTGATGAGAGAGAGAGAAAGGGCAAATTTTTTTGAGATATCAGTGCTCCTTTAGCTAGGTTACATGTATCTGCCTCTATTTATATCTGTATATATATGTTTCAAAAGAAAGAGAAAATTTATCTTTAATATATCAAGTGTATATGAGATATGCCTTTCTAGTACTTTCTGTATATAATTGGGGATATGAATTTTGATGCAAAAGAATGATTAAAAATTGGACTGATAAATTTTAGTAAAAACTAACAATATGAAAACTAATATAATATTCCTGCTATAAATGTAAAAAGTTTACTTACAAAACAAAGAAAAATATGAAAGGTGGTTGATATCACTATAAATTTATAAAGTGTATTTATTTAGTGGTATTTTAGGGTGTATAGATTTCACATTTTGGTCTTCTTTATACGATAATATGTATGCACATATCTATATTTACATGTGAGATGTGTTTTGTCGGGATAAGGCACATGTTATCGCATTATCCTTCATTTTCTATAGCTTACTACTAACTTCTCAAGCACGTGCTCTCCATTCACCACCCAACAAATCATCCAATTATCTCATTCTTAATTATGTTAGTTTTGACATATTGACATTTGTATTACTAATTAACTGACATTAATTCATATAGTTTTCTTACAATAGCATTTGTTTTTTTTTTCCGCTACAGCTTGAATATGTGACCCTACAGTTTCGTCAGGTACGGTAGAATTATCAGCCTTGTGTTAAATTCAACACAAAACCATATTTCTACATAAGAAAATATTGTATAATTCCAGAAATAGTAAGCTAGCCTACTTTTTTTTAATCTTTGATGATAATGCAGATTCTCTTGATTATATTTTTAGAAAAAAAAGTATGAAAAAAAAGAGAAGAAAAGAAAGGCAGATACATGGACCAAAGCCTAGAAAAGATCTTTTGTCTCTTAACCAAGAAGATTTCTATGTACAGCCTTTCCTTATTTAGTTTTTTCATCACGTGCATGACACATCTCATAAATGGTTACGTATTGTTCATAAAATTTCGAAAATTGTTTGTCTCTGACTATTTTATGTGAAATGATATTTATTTTTATAAAAAAAGAGCACATATAGCTTTGTGTTTCCAAAGATAGTAGTCGTGGGAGGGATAGAGATAAGATCTGTCTTCAATTGTCTGTCTTCTTTCTACAGTCGTGTTTCAATCCTCTCCTCACATTTTTCCCTCACTAACAAACATATAATAAAACAAGAAATAAATAATTCGTAAAAATGTATTACGTAAACCCAAAACAAACTTTTCTAATTTGTTAGTCGCTTTTTGTTTTTTATGTCTTTCCGACTTCTTTGTCCTCTTTGTTTCCTTTTTCTGACAAATTTATCACAATCTGTTATTATGCTCTTGAAAGATTAATTTTCTAAAATCTCATAAAAGTTATTTTGTATATATATGTTAGGTGAATATCCATCGGATACATATAATATCATATTTATGCAATGTATTTTAAATTTAGTTAAATTTGTAATTTTTTTGTTTGTCTTAAAAGGTTTAAGATCTGTGTGACATGAATTAATATACAACTTAACAAAAAAAAAAAAAACGTAGATTGGTGATAATGAAATGCAGCACATAGCTAAAGGTATAACGATTTATGTAGAGCAAAAACGTCATCTATGTTATATCGACAACTTGTTTTTGTTTCTTTCTGACGTTATAAGTTATATCGACAACTTGTTTAGATCTGAAACGTTTTAATTCGAAAAAGTTTTCGTCCACCAAAAAGTTGTTAGTGTGATATTTCTATACTATATTACTATTAAATAAAAACCAGGTCAAGTGATAATACCTCATCCTCGATCGCCGCGAAACTTCCTCAATTTCCAAGTAGATTCATTCTATCAGGTAAACCCTGTTTCTTCAATTCTACTACTGACATCAATGTTTCTCCACAATTACACTTTACCTTGTGTAAAATCAGTTTGCAAGAGTTAATAAGAGAGTTCTTCTAAGAATGAAATAAAGGGAGTTGAAAATATATATCTAATTCAATTTTGGTTACATTCAAAATTAAGATTACTAGCAGTATTTTGTTAGTAAATTGTATAAAAATTTCCTTCAAACTTTGATAAAATCCAAATTGTATAATATTGATAATATTGCACGCAATAACAAAATAGAACTATAAGAAAGGAAATGAAAACATTGGCAAAAAAAAAAGAAAGGAAATGAAAACAATAATAGAACGGCAGAGAAGGAACATGGATCCTTAGGGAAGAATCAAAGATAGGGAATCATATATAAATAAAGAGAGAGACAAACAAATTCCAAGAAATTGTAAAATTTGAGGAGAGATCTTTGGATGCATAAAATAAAAAAGTACTATATGAGGTTAATTGTATGGAAAGTGATCAGTGAGACTAATTAGCTTGACCATGCACAAAAGTCATATATGCTCTACGCTTATGGAGTAGCTATTTTGCATTGCTGTACCTGTACTCATTTTGATTCCCTTTTCGCAATTATTGTGTTCCCGTTTATGATCCCAATAACTTATTTTATGACAATACTAAATATCTATGATGCTCTTTATAAAAATAAAAAGGTATATATATATATATATATATATATATGATGCATATTCACGCGACGTATACAACTAAAAATCTCATGTTATGCCGTGAAGTAAACCTATATTATATTTATCAAGTATATAAAGTTGTTAATTTGACTCGCGATTCAATAATTCGGGTTAGATTAAGTTTAACCATAAGTAATGAATATTTCGGATGAGCAATGAGAAATGATATTGAACCGTTTATGAAGTTGAAGTCTCTTGCATTCGATAAGATCATTCGTAAATGTAAACTATTTTGAACCATTCGATCTCCAATTTGATTCAAATATTTTACCTGAACAACAACAACGATAATCCATAACTAAGGTCAATAAAATATTTTTTTTTTTTTTGTCAACCACACATTAATTAATAAATAATTCCTTGATTGGTTGCCCAATTAGGAGGAGTAGAGTTTACAAAAGTAACTTCAGAAAATAAAAGTCTAGAAGAACGGGCTAAGCAGTCCGCTTGAACATTACATAAACGAGAAATAAGAGAAAGCGAGAAGAAAAGGAAAGAGAGACGGATAAAACCAAACTCATCTAGAAGATTGGAGAAAGCAGGCCATTCATCCGGTGAGTGTATCATCGAGACTAACTCCGAGCAGTCTGATTCAAACACCTGACAATCGATCCCTCTTGAAAGGATATTCTTCATAGCCCAAATTAAAGCTTCCATCTCCGAGTGAAGAGGGGAGGGACACCTCCGAAGGCACTTTGCACCGAGCAGTATCGTTTGATCATTTCCTTGAAAACACCACCATCCTATACCCATTGTTGGATCTGAATTTTTCCAAGAACCATCAATCCGACATCTTATAGATTGAACCGGTCGTTCCAAAGTTTCCGTAGTAGAACTAGTTTCGATCGGATCCAACTGAGCTTCTTCCCACATTAATTTTTCACTCAAAGCATGATTTAAAATATCTCTGGGTTCAGATTGTAATCCCTTGAAAACCTTTTTATTCCTATCTTTCCAGATGAACCACAAAATCCAAGCATAACTGAAAGTTTTCTCTCCCCCATCTAGATTAGATGGTAACCTCCAATAAAGATAATCTAGATTTGAGAATTCCGAGGTTAGAGGAAAACTACCTATTGCCGTAGGTATATCTGATAATTCCCATATTTTCTGAGAATGAGTGCACTCAAATAAAGCATGATTTATTGTTTCCTCTGCCATCTCACACCTTTTACAGAGAAAGTCACATTGGATCCCTCGATGTGCTAATTTTGAAGTAACTGCTAGAGATCCCGTAGCAATTTGCCATAAGAAATGTTTAGTTTTGGAGGGGCTTTGACTTTCCAAGCTTGTGCTTGTAAATTCTTATAATTCGGGCCCCATTCGATCGTTTCTGTCATCTCTCTAGCAACCCGATAGCCTGATTTTACTGTATATCTTCCCGATCTTGTATGATGCCAGATAAGCCTATCTGGCTTATAAACTTTGCTAATAGCCAATCCCCTAATAAACTGAATATCCACTGGATCCAAAAATTCTTGTAAAATAGGAAGATGCCATTCTTTAGTAACCGGATTAATTAAATGGTTAACCATCAAACTTGAAAGTAATGTTTTTCCTCTTCCATTTGCGGGCCGTGGGTTAACATCAGGAATCCAAGGATCTCGCCATACCGATAGATTGAAACCCGATCCTAGTGACCATCTAGCTCCCACTTCAACTAATCTTTTAGTAGAAAAAATACTCTTCCATCCAAATGATGGAGAGTTTGGTTTTTTTACCTGTAAAGGATGAATATTCCTGAAATATCTGCTTTGTAGCACCCGAGCTACTAAAGAGTTCGGATATTGGATTAAACGCCAATATTGTTTAGCCAACATGGCATCATTAAAAATGTCTAGGGAATGAAAGCCTAAACCTCCTTCTTCTTTATCCTTACACATTTTTTCCCATGCTATCCAATGGATCCCACGATCTCTCCCATTGGAACTCCACCAATAATTAGAAATAGCACTTGTTAACTTAGAAGTTAACTCTTGAGGTAGTTTAAAACAAGACATAACCTAGGTTGGTAGTGCCAAAGCCACTGATTTGATCATTGTGTCCTTTCCACCTTTCGACTGTAATTTAGCTGACCAGGCATTAATCCGTTCATTAAGTCTTTCCCGGACATAATTAAAGATTTTACTTTTTGAAGCTCCTAAGCTCCCTGGTATACGCAAATAGGTACGCATGCCACCCTCTTTACTGATTCCAAGGGTGTTTTTAAGTTGATCTCTTTTTTGGTTTGCTACGCGCTTACCAAACATAACCGATGATTTACTGAGATTTATCTCTTGCCCTGAAGCTTTACCATAATTCCCAATAATATCCATCACCGTTTTGCATTGCTCTGAATCCGCTTTACAGAAAAAGAGACTATCATCCGCAAAAAGCAGATGTGAAATTGCTGGGCTTCTTTTCGCTATCTTAATTCCTGTCAGCTTCTTCTCCCTTTCCGCCTTTTTAATATTTGCAATCAGTACCTCCGTACATAAAATAAACAAATAAGGCGATAAGG